CGGACTAAGGCCTCCTTTTCTATTTGATCTGGTGGAACTTCGGATCCAGGCTCAGCTTGTGAGTAGTTATTTCCAGCGGGATCCCTGTCATGTCAAGGTGGGACCAAGCGAAACAATCTATGTTAGCTATAAGGAATTCAATGAGTTTTTTCCTGAGCTCGGGACTTAACCCCGTGCCCAGGTATACCTTACTATTGGACAGGTGCTCGATCAATATGACTTGCTCCAGTTTCTCGACCATTAATTTGGTGGCATCGAAATTACTAGGGGCTATGAAAGACCTGGGAACTCCGTAGTCGTCATCCTCACCCGTCCCCTGCTTTTCCGGTTCGACCGGGGCCGGCATCCGTGATTGCTATTTGGTTTCTTCCTTGGTGATAGAACTCAGGTTCTTTGATTTCAAGAGTGCAAATATTTGGACGACCTAGTCGATCGCGAACATCTCCTTTGCGGCCGGTTGTTCCCCGTAAATTGTTTTAATCACTCCTGGTGTTGGGAATTTCAACACCTGATGTAGTGTCGAGAGCACTGCCCTCATGTTGTGAATCCATGGCCTCACGAACAGAGCATTGTATCTCGTATCTCCTTTGATCACGCAGAACTTTGTTTCTTGAACGGTTCCGGCGGTGTTCACCGGTAGGGTTATCTCCCCTTTAGTGGTCTCACATGCCATGTTGAATCCGTTTAGAACTCGGACTGCAGGCACAATTTGGTCTTGTAGACCCAGCCGCTCTACGACCCTCGATCTAATGATATTGGTCGAGCTACCTGGATCAATTAACACACGCTTAACTCGAGATTTATTTATGAGTACAGATATTACCAGTGCATCATTTTATGGTTGCACGATGCCTTCAACGTCCTCGTCGTTGAAAGATACGGTTCCTTCTGGCACGTAATCTCGAGTCCATTTTTCCCTTGTGATGGACACTTTGGTGTGCTTTAACATCGGCCCCTGGGGGACGTCGACCCTACCGATGATCATGTTAATGGCGTGTTGAGGTTCCTCCTGCTCGATTTTCTTATTGGAGTCCCTACTGCTGAAATGATTTTTGGCTCGATCGCTCAGGAACTCTCAGAGGTGTCCGTTATTAAATAACCGGGCTACTTCCTCTCTCAGTTGTCGATAGTTTTCAGTTATGTGCCCGTAGTACCATGATATTTACACATTAGGCTGGGGTCCCTTTGGCCAGGATCGGACTGTAAAGGTTGAGGCCACTTGGTGTCTTTGATGTGTCCGATGGCAGATACGATGGCAGCAACATTGATGTTGAAGTTGTACTCCGATAACCTCGGCGCTTCCTTAGGCCCGATGGGCCTGTCAAAACCACTTTTGCTCATGAGTCCCCTATTATTTTAACCTCGATCTCTTATTCTTTCAATTCTCATAGGGTTTCGTCCAGACCGATTACCTCTTCGGTCTCAATTTTATGGTTGAAACCGGTCTCTATTTGATCTTGGTTCACGATAAATGTCTCTTTTGGATCTGTCACAAGCTATGACTAGATAAACGGACCCGGAAGGGGCCTCAAGCTGATCATCTTCGACCCTAATTTTTGATTAGTACCAGTTATGGACGTCGGCCCAAGTTACCGCCGGATATTCTATCAGATTTTGCTTCATCTTCTGTGAAGGCAATGAGCTTCGAGTATTGGGTCCTTGAGTGAAGGCCTGAACGGCCCAATCGTCCGTGACTGGGGGCAGGTCCATTCGTTCCATTTGAAACCGGGATACGAATTCCATGAGCATCTCATTATCTCTTTGCTTCACTTTGAAAAGGTGTGACTTCCTGGTTTCAACCTTGATAGCCCCGGCGTGTGCTTTCACGAAAGGCATCTGCTAGCATAGCAAACGAGTCAATAGAATTGGGGATAAGTTGTGATACCATATCATATCTCCTGTTGAGAAGGTCTCTCCGAACTTTTTCAGCAGGACGGACTCGATCTCATCATCCTCCTAGTCGTTCCCTTTGATGGCGCACTTGTAGGAGGTCACATGTTCATTTGGGTCAGTTGTTCCGTTGTACTAAGAAATTTCGGGCATGCGCATCTTCTTTGGGATCGGCTTCGGAGCTGCGCTCGGAGGGAAAGGTGTTTGAACAAACTTCTTCGAATCAGGCCCTTCAATATCGGTGGTGCTCCTGGGGTTTTGGTCGACCCTGGAATTGTAGGTTTCTACTTTTTTGTCATTAGCTTCGATTTTCTTTTCTCCCGATTCAGCCCGTTTTGTCAGTTCCTCAAGCATCTTTATGATCTCGGGGTTGGTCCCACATTCAGCTTCTTTCGGTCTTTCTACTATTGGTTCATTTCTACGAGCATTTTCCCGGGATGGTTTGGGCTCGACTCTGCTGAGGGCGCGGCTCTGGTTCTGCAACTGGGCTATCGCTGCTTGTTGAGCCTGCAACATTTCGAAAATCACTCGCAAGTTGATCCCATCACCTTCACTATCGTGTTTATTTTGGGCTACCGATCGGACTCCCCCACGGATGCTGTTCTCAGGATAAGGTAGGCAAATTTGCATCGATGGTCACATGTGAGTTAGTGTCGATCGATTCTGCGACCGGAACTCCGTTGGGGTCTAAAGAGGGCACCTCGATACCGGGTACCACATGGTTGTTCTCGCCATGGTGGCTAGACTCAGTATCCACGTTCAAAGGGGCAAATTGGGAGTTCGATATTTTAAACTTTGACTTGAAATTAAAGACTTCAAAGAACAAGTGTAAAATAGGATGTGTTATGAAAATTTGTATCAAATTGCCACTAATATACTTAACCCCACTGCGGGCGCGAAATTGTTTACCGTAAAAAATGGATAACAACTAAATTTGTTTGTAATTTTAAGGTTACGTGGATTAATTCGATACAAACGATAAATTGCATTAGATTAAACAGATAAAATAGGTAATAAATTATCAAACCACTTGAGGAGGATAATTTCGGACTTAGCAACAGCCTTAATGAAATATCCACCATCGATTCCGGACTCACAATGACCAAGCACTGATGAGCAGGAATAAAAACTTTGAATAACAGAGAAAAAGTAGTATATTGCCTTGATATGCATGTTACAGTGTGTCTAATGAATAATCAGACCCCCCCTTTATATAGTAGGGGAGTTCTACCCTAGGTACAATTCCATAAAAGGTAAAAATCTTTCGTTTAACTAATCACCGGATGTCCGCCGTTACGTGCCGAGTTCTACGCCGTGATACCCGGCTGGTCACGGATATCACGACCTTCTGTTAATCGTGCTCGGTTTCCCGACAACGCTCTCTGAAGTCTTTTAGGATTAGGACCGATCCCGGGGTCATGACCCCGATATTCCCGAGGGTGGGCATTGTGCCCCCGACCCCCGCTCGATGAGACCCTTGCCCCGATTCTGGTTCCTTATCATCACATTTCTTGCTCGATTTACCTTATTGGAAACCGGGGTATCCCATTGTCCCGGTTTCACCCGTATATAATAATAATAATAATAATAATAATAATAATAATAATAATAATAATAATATACATACTAGTTTAAAATTGAAAGCAAATAGGTCTTATATCGATTTATATTTATAACATGCAAAATGTTAAAATATCATTAGCTACTTTAACATATAACGAATAATACCGATCAAAATGAAGTAGTACTTTTTAGCGAAAACAAGTATAAATTTTAGAGCTGTAAAACTATTCAAAAGAATACTAGAACAGTTACACCAACTTGGAAGGAAAATGCTAAAATCGTATAAACCGGTCTTAAGTAACCTCCTTTAAGAAGAAGAAAAAAAGATAAGGAAAGGTCTTTCACGTAAATGCGACTCCATTGGACCAAACGATGTTTATAAAGAAAAGAATTGGGATAGGCTAATGAGAGGAATTGAATTTAATTAATTATCCAACCAAATCCACTCTTCATCCTTCAAATTTTTGTTTTAATTTTTTTACTTCTGCAGAAAAGATTCGTAGTTTACTTCTTTTATGATCCATTTTGGTTCGACTTCTCTGCACGTTTTCTTTGGGGGTCCTATTACGAAACATTTCAAGCTACTCCTAGCAACTTGTAGTACTAATTTTCTTTATATTTAACTTTTATTGAGACAACCCGGCCCATGTTACGAATGTGAACTATAATTACAACTTTGAAACAGAAATTTAATACTAAAAACACGTGAATCACGTCGTTTACTTTTTTCTTTCTCATCCCCCTTTTTTGCAATATCCGTTGAATTTTTTATTTTTGGAAATATTAAATTGAGACAATTTGGCACATGTTATGAATATTAAAAGACTTACAACTTAAAAACAGAAATTAATATTTATAACACGTGAACCACTTCGTACACGATCTTCTTTGTTTATTCTCCCCCTTTCTTTTTCCTCTATCCTTTGAAAAAAAATTGAACATATTAAATTAGGACAACTTGCCCAACCATATAAATTTTAATATAATTAGTACAGCTTAGAAATAGAAACTAATACTTAGCACGCTAAAGTGAAATTACCATGATTCAAATGGACTCCAATTGATCTTCCTGTAAGCTGTAACATCTACCTTGCTAAACTAATTGTTTAATTCATATAATTAGGCTGATCGCTTCACATAATTTTTCACAACAATTTTGTTTCTTCTTGTCATCAAAGTGAAACCATTTTGAGACGCTCCATATTTGTTTTCTCTTCGAGGCAAAACCAAAGTACTTCATATATCCTTATAAAGTGCTGATCTCGGTTCAAAATTATACAAACTTAGAGAAAATTGCAAGAGACTGGTGATAAGAAAATTGCGAGATGTGCTGCTACAACGAGTCAGGGGCGGAGCCGAACCCAGTAGCTTTGGTTCGAACCCTGTATTTGTCTTAAAGTTTTTATTAAATATGTATAAATTATTAATTTAACATCCAATAACTTAAGACGATTAAATTCCAAACCCATAAGCTTGCAATCCTGGCTGCCCGGAGTGAGAGGACTATACGGTTTTTTGGTTGAATGGTCTCATTAGCAAAATCCATATAAATTTTGCAATTCATATTTGATTAAAGAAGAAACGCCATAATGCATATGAAGGCAGGATATGTCACAGATTGTTAAATGTGGAGAATCAATCCAGAAGCTATTTACAAACAAATACCAAAAGTCTTGAACGGGGCTGATTCTCGCTACATGTATGAAAACTGAATTTGAAGGCAAGATCCAAGTACACCACCAACAGGTAATTGAGCAACAAGGCTTTATCCTTTCCATGAGATGTTGCATTTGCAAAGTCAATCATCTTTCACCTCTTCATAACAGAGGGGGCAGTTCTGTGACGCACACATACAGAGACACAGATATTAGTTACTTTTGCTGCAGCACAATATTAAAAGCTTGACCAATCACTAATAGCTGCTCAAAAGTACTTTTCAAATTAGCCAAACACAAACGGCTTCTTGCCAAATGTACTATTTGAAAAAGCGCTTTTGAGAAAATTACTTTTAAAATAAGCTGATTTTCGAAGCCTGACCAAACATGCTATAAAAGGTGAGACTAAGAACTATAAGTTAAGTAGAGTTTTGATCTCTGTCTTAAGACCAGGAAAATCTCCTTACTGCTATTGCATCTCCACAAAATTGCCACGAGTCAACCAGTTAAGCCAGCCGTGAGAAGCAATTCAAAAGCTTTGCTTGATGTTTTTATCATATGTTCTTACTCGAGCACAGGAGAACAAAAATTTAAACAGGATTGAAGGGGATAGGATCTTAAGTACGAGGATATGGTTTCTCACCTTTCTTTCTTTAAGCCAGCGATTTATACATTCTGAATGAAACATGTGTGCACAAGGTAAAGTGGTCAACATATCTCCGCTTCTGTACGCAGCATAACATATAACACACCTGCATAGAATGAAATTGCAAGGACCAACATAGTTAGATGATCATATACTTTTTCTCAAACTTTTTGATGGTGTTTGTTTATGCATTTCTTTTTTAAATGAAGTTATTTACTGAATCAACCTCTAACAAATTTCTTTTCCAGAAAACCATTTCAAAAGAAAACTTATTCCGAAGGTTGTCAAATGGCTGCTTAAGAACACTAATTCATCTCTGTTTTAGCTGTGCCTGTCAGCCATGTGTGAACAGCGAATGGTGGAAATGGGATTGCAGGGCAACATATGTAGAGAGTTTAACTTTTTAATTTTTCAAAAAAAAAAGGAGACCAGAAAATGAAGAAGACAATAAAGTTAGTGAGGGTAGTCACCGCAGTTTACATACTTTATTTTTCAATATGGACCATTTTCATCAAAATACTGGAACTAAGGGAGTCAGAAACAACAAATAAACTGCCACTGATGCTTTATGCTGGTAAAAATCAGACACAGATCATCAATATAAGTAGAACGGTATAATTATTGCACTAGCATATTTATTAGTAAATTTTTGTAAAAGAACATGTGCACCTTCTCTATAAAGCTAAAGCAAAACAGATAGGCAGGATAGAAGAAATAAAATCACAAGGGTATTTATCCTACTCTCCCATTTTCTTTTTCTTCGAGAAGAATCCTGTCTTGTATTTGAAAGTTGGCAATCGACTTATGAGGTCTTGTGAAAGCCCTCTGCTCTGCTGGCCAACAGCTTCTCCCAAGGACTGTAGTTCCTACCAAAATGAAAGAAGACAATTGGAACGGCATAAATGAAAGGTTCACATGATGGGAAAAGAAAAAACAGCAAGAGTAATATAAACTACTTCAAGCTTAATCAAAAGGAAAAAGAAAAAAAGATTGCAGTCTAACCTCATAGGTCATACTATCTGGATCAATATCATCTTGTCTTGTGTTCGTATTCCCAGACTGCACTTAGTAATAGAGACCTGTATTAACCCTTGCATACAACCTTATTAAGCTATAAATAGCAGTACAGAACTAAAAAGTTACATCATACCCTGACCGGAGGTGATTCTCTAGGAGGGGATCCCCTGTTGCCTGCAGATAATGTGAAGGTCACTTGGTTATGAGTAACGTGGACACAAAATCCTATAATACTTGAATAGAAACTATAATTCAAACACCCACAAAGTAGATCCTGTTTTAATTAATTTACTTCATACTCTTTTATTCACCCGAGCCGTGGAAACAACCTCTTGCAGAAATGCAGGGTAAGGCTGCGTACAATAGACCCTTGTGGTCCGGCCCTTCCCCGAGCCCCGCGCATTGCGGGAGCTTAGTACACTGGGCTGCCCTTTTTTACTCTTCTATTCACCCACAAAGTTGTTCAGATGTACAATCTAGCCTGTCGCTAGAATATACTGACATGCACACACCTACAAGACGCTCTATAGTATGAGTCACTTTTAGAAATGGCTTTAGAAGAATGAAGAGCAAATGAACGATAATGCCCTATCTAGCGTGATATAACATACTTTCGACGAAATCTCTTCCTTGGGAAGAAATCATTTTAAGGAAAACACTTTTTACCAAATAGTGGAAACAACTCGTTGTGCATTGTGGTAATAAATCATTCTCTACTCACATTCCTACTCCATATCACTTGCTCCTATAAACATGTAAAGATTATTTCCAGGTTTTGCAACTCATAGTAATCATCAAACACCAAATCCTCAAGCTCCACCCTACTACCGACCAATTAAATTTCAAGTAATCACCAAAAAATGAGTTAGGAGATGATTTCTAGACTAAAACATTATTTATGGGGACATTTTACATCATACCACTCAGGATGTAAGTCCAAATTTCTAAAAAAATGACAAAACACCAATAAAGTTGCTATGCCATACATCGAAGAATTGACAATTACTTGATTCACACAGCAGGACTTTTCATCACAACGGTAGTCTATTGCATTGGGTATAATGAGTTCATAACACTGGCATACCGGGGAAAAAGTCATTATTTCAGCAATTACCAATACATTCATATAACTTCACCGCCCCAATGTTTACATTCATTCAGTGAGTTCCTTATTCTTAGTGATTACAACCTACTAACGTCTAATTCATTCTAAAGTTCAGTGTAAAAAAGCCTTAATTTTGGCAAAGTTGTAACGTCTTGATGTGTATATATAGAACGGTTATACTTATAGACCGGTTATAATAAGATGACTAACATCTTCTTTAACCACAGAGAAGAATATCAAATCTCTATTAACAGAGGAATAAAGATCTAGGTAAAGCAGAGATAAGAGCTGTATGACCAAGAAATTTACTGACTCAACAATGTTCTTACGAAATTACCAGCCACGGTAGAATTAAGCTCATCTCTACAGAAATCCTCAAAATCATCCCCTAACTGCAATGATCTAGCTAAAGCTTCATCCAGAGCCAATTGTGATTCAAAGCTTCGAGAAGAATCACCCTTTTGTGCTGATACCTGATGTCCTCTACTGGTTTGACCATATTCAGAGCTCATATTCCTGTTTTTCCCATTTGCTTGAAATGACAAGTAAACAGTTTCCTGCAAGATAAGAAACCAATTGTCAAGTGTCAACAAAAATTATTTTAACAAAAGGGTGTGTGCGGTGTTGAACCCTGTCCAGAACATTCAATTCATTCCATAATACCTGTTGCAGAAGAACTTCTTCATAACTCAAATCACCATCCTCAGGAAAAAGATCTTTTATATTCTCAGCAATCTCAGATGGGATTCCACCACTTGAATAATGGGTATGCAACAAGCTGTTACTCATTGTAAATGTTTCAGGTATCACTACGCACTATCCTTCTTCAGACTGCAGGACCCTTTCACCGTCTATAGAATTTGAAATTGATCAGGACAAAGGTATATCAGATGAAGATGAATAAAAAACTGAAAGAAGCTTATATAGAATTTCATATTTCGTATATCAGGAGGCAGTGCAGAATATCCAACCACACCTGTTACCCGAAATAGGTGTCAATCTTTTTTACATTCATCTTATATGAATGTATCTAACCTCTTCTCTGAAATGGAGCACATTAGAGGACAAATGACAAAGACAATAAAATATAAATGTCCCTAAAAGAATTATGATAAACCATTCATGACAGAAGAACAAGATTGTCTGTTAATAGCTTTTGATCATCTTTGCCCTCTTCAAAATATTGTACATAATGCCAAAGGTGCAAAGTTTTTGAAAATTAGACTACTATTAGACACCGCATACGACCAAAAATACTCTGCAAATATATTAAGCTAATTCGACAATTCCACAAAATGCCAATAATGACTGATTTTGACACCTTAAATATTTACTCCTATGAGAATTAATAATAAGCACTTGACCAGCACCAGACAAGGAAAGGTACCAATTCAGGTATAGGCAAGATACAATGTCATTGCAAATACAAGAAAAAATGGCAAACATTTACCTATACAGTAATAGAAAAGGGCTTTCTAAGTTGACTTGACAGTCGCACACTATATACATTCTGAAAAAGAAAGTATGTCTATAAGCTAAACTGACTTTAATTACCCCCTAATTCACAAATCAGGAAAATTCAAGATGGTAAAGAAAGGCAAAAGCAGGAAATCACGATTTAATTGCATTTTACACCTTACATTGCAGTAAAATTACCGGGTCACCGGGCTCGACCCGGTCAAATCCTATTCTTATACTCAATTATGACAAAAATTGGAAACGTATGAATGAGAAGAACTGGCAAGATTCAAAGATTGTAACTTTACATCAAAATCAACATACCCATTTAGAATCTTGCAATGCAAATTCAAGAAAAGATGTGTTCTTGAATTTGACTCAGTATTATTCATGAAAATGGCACAACGTCGAAAAGACAGAGGGAGAAAAAAATTTACCTTTTTCAGAGAAGCAAACGAGATGGGGGTCTTGACTCCAAGTCTAAGCAGGTCATCTTACTAACTGAGAGTGTAGAATAGTGAAGAAAAAGTCGAATGATAGCAACTGATGAATATTAAATCCAAGGAAGCTGGTGGGAACGCTAGACATAGGAGTCCGGAATCAAAATGTGGTTATTTTGGATTCAAATTACACACATAGGTGTAAAAAAAAAAAGTTATCATACTATATATACATTATAGCGCCAGCTGATATAGTGCCATAAAAAGTGGCGCTATATGTATATACTCTTTCTTTTTCTTTTTGGTAATTATTAGACATCATTTAACTACAATCATTTAGTTATTGCTCTACTATTTATGAATATTCATTTAATAAGTTTTCTAATATTTAATAAGTTTTCTAATATTTAACATAAAAGTAAATAAGTTGGTAATTATTAGACATATGAAATAACTATGAAATATGTTGTTGTCAATTTATTTGCACTTTGAATATATTGTACTACCACAAAATACCACAAGATTAAAATTTGTGTTAGCAAGTAGCAGTTCATGATTATTATCATATATACCAATAATAAAACTAAAATTGCTGCCATTTATTAAAACTAACAAGGAATATTACGGACTTCATGGAAAAAAAGTGTTGTTGTCAACTCCTAAAAAAAAGAAGCTAACACTCTGTTTGGATCACTGTTCCCCATCGTTTTATAATGTATCGTATTGTACTGTATTGTATTGTATCGTATCGTTTTATGAATACAATGTTTGGATAGATTGTATTGTTCGTTGTTGTTAAATAACATTTTGCTGTTTGGTTTGACTGTATCGTACTGTACTTTAACTGATAAGTTTACTACAATACCCTCAATTGTTTTAAATATTTAATTTATCAAAAATTACACATAAAAATTATTTAAGAAAACCACTTTCTACTAACTAATCACTAATTATGTCTTATATATAAATTAAGCAATTAAATTCATGCAAATTCTATCGAAATTAGTTGAACAAGTTAATAATATTAAAAATAATAATAAGTACACTATATTTATAATTAGATCATAATAATAAAGATAAGGAAAGTTCTAAATAATCTACATATTAGGAACCAATTTCTATACTAGATTATAATATATGTTCTCTATAACATCAATTAGCTATAACAATAAAAAAAACTAAAACAAACGAACCTGTTATAAAGAGGTTTGATTGTACTTTTTAAGTCCTAAACTGACGAACTTTCAATTTCAAGTCGCATTAACAAGTTGGATCAAATTTATTTGTCCAAAATTGTTTGCAAGTCAAGAACCAACCCAAATATTCCGTGAATAATTTTTAAATGTAATTTTTGTCATTTTAATAAGAAAAAAACGTATAGTAGTTATAATTTAACTTTTTTTATCCGATTGAGTGCAGAAGTTGATCAAATTAGCCCACGATCAAACAAGAGATGGAATGCAATAATTAGATGAAATTTTATAAAAATATATTACCTTATATTGTTTCTTCATTTGGGAGGTAATAATTTTTTAATATTATAAATAGTAGAGCAATAACTAAATGATTGGGGTGAAAATAATCTACATAATTAAGATAAGGAAAATTTTACTAACATATAAAGTTTTAATTGATTTCAAAGTTATAAATATTAGGAAAATCATTAATGACTATTATTAAATATTAGAAAACTTATTAAATGAATATTCATAAATGGTAGAGCAATAACTAAATGATTGTAGTTAAATGATGTCTAATAATTATCAAAAAGAAAAAGAAAGAGTATATACATATAGCGCCACTTTTTATAGCACTATATCAGCTGTGTCAGATTTTTTTTGTATAACGTCAGAAAACCTGGCGCTATACATTAACGGTACAGTTACCGTTAATGTATAGCGTCAGGTTTTCTGGCGTTATATATAGTATGGTAACTTTTTTTTTTTTACACCTATTTGTGTAGTTTGAGTCCAAAAGAACCACATTTTGATTCCGGATGGTGCCACTAATGGTAAGTTTCACAAGAAGCCACAACAGTGAATATAGCCTATATACAGTTTGCATCTCTTTCTTACATTAGCCATTTTGCCCTTTAGTTAGATTATTTGAGGATAAAGTTTCAGTCTTTAGTCTTCAGTAGCGGTGAGCTAAAAACTGCAATGTGTACTTTCCCATATTTACTGCTTGTTTGTTTGCAAAAGACAGTAAAAGTGACGACTAATAGCGTAGATATAACAGAGATGAAAGGAATGTGGACACGTTGAGGGAAATGCAGGCCACGGGTTCCACTTCCACACTGATGTGATTTTTTTTTAGAGAAAAAGGTTTTGGCCATTTTATTTTATTTTATGTGTCTTAGTTAAATAGCAATAAAAATTAATAATGTAAATAAGATTGTTAAATCTCATTGTTCTAAAAAATGAGATGTGACAATTGCACCAAACCATCTGTTGATTGTTGAATGATGTACATTTAAATTGGTTGTGACTGTGATAATAGGTGAATTTGACTATAATCACACCTTAAATAATCACCTTCTTGTGTAGTTTTAATGCTAAAAGTGATGACAAAATGCTCTTATTAGTGCTTTTCATGATTTGTAGGTGATATATGTATAAGGAAGGCTAAGGAGCAGTTTTGGAGTTAAAAGTGATGAAAAAGAGGCCAACTGTGAAATTTCCCAAGTGACCCATGCAAAACAGGCCGAGGAATTCAGAGTACTGGATCCATCGCGGTTCCACCGCGACCGCGGCAGAACCGCGGTGGGAAGCAGCTGCAGAAGATTGAGAATCCGCGAGGGTGTTTGGCCGCGGTTCTACCGCGACCGCGGCAGAACCGCGGCAGGCGCAGAAACTTCGGGGACCAAAGTGTCAATTACGGGATTTTTAGACCTAAAACCTATTTAAAACACTAGACTTCGCCCAAGAGAGGCATGTATTGATTTTTTAGGTTTCTTAGCAAGGAAAAACATTGTGAGAAAATACTCTAAACATCTTTCTTCTTTTCTTTTGATTTTATGATGAATTCAAGCTTAGTTTATTTTTCCATAGTCATGAGTAGCTAAATTCCTTGTCTAAGGCTTTGATGGAACCTATTGGGTGATGAACTTCTTGTTTATGTGAATACAAATTGCTAGTTTAATCTCTATTTGTTCAACTTCGTGTTCGTTGTAGTTAATTGACAGGATCCTCAATTAGCTGTGCCTATTTAGTGTGCATAACTTGGAAAAGAGTGCATATTTAGGTTATTGTTGAACAACATCACTCCTAGATTATTAGAGGAATCTATAATTGCAGGTTTAAAGGCGGGATTAGGGATAACGAAGCCTTGGGTGTAATCTAAGTGAATTGTGCTAAATAAAGTAAGCTAGTGTATCTCGGGAGAGTGCAATAGTAGATTACTGTGATTACTCGGGAGAGAATTGCGGTAAGATTAGCGTTCATGATTGATAGAGAAGTGTGGGTAAATTTGTATGAGCATAAACAGAAGGGATTCCATCAATAGGGGAAATCATTGCCTTAGCTTTTTCTCATAATTGTTACAACCTTATTAATTTAGTTACAGCCATTAGTTACTTGCAAGCTAGTTGTTAAAGAACACTCAACTGAGAATTTGAATATTTGAGAAGCTGGTTCTGAAGACTTGGTGGGTCTGAAGATAGCGGTTGATAGGTTAACTCTCTGTGGATTCGACCCTGGGCGTAATACTCGGGTTATATTTGCAACGTTCGCAGAGTCCTTTTTATAAGGCATAGTTGGGCGTGATCAAATTTTGGCGCCGTTGCCGGGGAGTTAACTGAATTATCAATTGCCATTGACAGAAATACAAGGATTCTTATTGTAGTCAGTCTTCTCTCTACCAACTTTTTCATTGAAAATTTGACGGTTGTTGATCTGGGTGCGCAGGTGTATGCCTAGAAATTCTACGAGGACTGGAGAACTACTTGAAGGACTCTCAGACCCCGAGAAGACATTCCGGGCATTGAATCGTGCCAACAAAAGACTTCAACAATCCCAACAAACACACCAATTCGAAATTGACATGGGCGACATAAACGACCCCAACGAAAATGTCAGGAATAAGCAATTGGCACCTCCTGTGCCTGAGGGTGCACTATATGACTGGGCACAACCCACAGCTGACAATTTGGCCACTGCCATTATTGTGCCCGCAATAAAAGTTCAATCGTTCCAGATCACAAATAACATGCTACACTTGTTGCAGAACAAGGGACTCTTTTCTGGGACACAAACAGAAGATCCTCAGCAGCATTTAAAGAACTTCCTGTCTATATGCAAAACCCAAAGGCAATCGAACGTGACTCCGGAAGCAATCAGGCTATTATTGTTCCCATTCTCGGTGACAGGAGCTGCTCAGGTTTGGCTAAACTCGCTTCCCATAAACTCTATAGCAACTTGGGATGAGTTGGTCAAGCAATTTCACAACAAGTTCCATCCGCCCAACAAGACCGCTCAACAAATTGATGAGATTGTGAGCTTCAAACAGAAACCAATGGAGACACTACACGAGACATGGGGCAGGTTTAAAGGAATGTTGGTTATGTGTCCCCACCATGGTGTTCCAGAACAGATGTTGGGACAACGGTTTTACATGGGACTGTCAGACAGCTTGAAGAATATAGTTGATGCCTCGGCTGGTGGGGCATTCTTGAGCAAGACTTGGAGAGAAGGTCAGAATTTGCTCGACAAGATGGCACAGAATTCGGGTTGGACATCTAGGAATGCACCTATCACCCCAGTGGTGCACTCAGTGCCTCTTGATCCTTCTAATACAATGGCTGAAAACATGGCGACTCTTTTGACGCAAATGAGCATCCTCACCAAAAAGGTGGAGGAATCAGGGCAGAAGCAACAGGTTCATATAGTAGACACTACCAATGGGGGCTTGTGCACATCTTGCATTAGC